CCTACTTTACGGAAGAGGACGACACGTATAGTAAATTGGGAAGTTTGGACATTTTTGTTTAGAACTATTGCCGAAGAAAGTATGGACGTATTATCAAACAACTCCAGAACAGGTACTACAACAGGAACAGGTACCCTGTGTTATAGGGTCCCTGACCGCAACCTTTCTGTCAACAAACGCCGTTACTGATACGATGTGTTTTTGCACAGTACTTGGGGCGTGTTAAAGTGCAAAGTTCATTGTATTGTACGGAGCAGCACTGTTAACAATGCTGATTATACCGTAGAAACAGGATAGTCCATGATAAGCAAATGTTTTTTTTCGACGCACAAAAACACACACACTGTTCCTGTATCGATAAAATATGTAATATTATACTATACTATATGGAATACCAAACATTCGTCTTTAATTTCCCAACACCATACATATAATTAGCTTCCAATTGTCAAATTTATTCGGACTCACTAGTTAGAAGAAAAAGCTACACGTTAAAGAGTAGTTTAAGAATTTGCGGTAAATATCGATATAATGTATTGTCTTACAATAACATCTCGCATAGGCAAGGTATGTGAGCCATTATACACCATGTCGTCCAGCCCTTTTAGCCTCTACTAGGCTTCGGGAGGGGGCAAAATCTTCTCTCCCAGCAACCACACTCCCCTGGCATGTTATCTCTCTATTTGGCCGATTACTACTCTTTCCAACCGCCTCCCGAAGCATGTAGAGGCTACAGCCCTCCCACTCTACGTAAGAGAACGACACATATTTTCGATCGGGAAGTTTGTACATAAAGGAGAAGAACATGCCAGAAACAACATCTACAAAGTTACCTTCTTCGAGAAGCCCTGCCATCGGGGACAACGTTACTTCGCCCTCTCAGTCGAAAGGCAACATCTTGAGTGAAAAACGTCCTCAGTTCTTGAAGGTTCTCCCATCGCCAGGTAAGGTTGACGGTCGTCGATGTACGTGTAAGGACCCGCCCTTTGGCAAACAATGTACAAAGTACCCGGATGCGAAACCTTAGGAGTTTCCCGTCGTAGCTATTTTTAAAAAGAGGGCCTGAATGGGGGGGGGGGGGTTAGTGATTACAAATTACGCAACATTTTCACCACCGATAACAAAGTAAGTTGAATTCACAGAACTGAAACCATGGAATACTTTTATGGATTACGGTTTACGTTGCATAAAGGTAACTGCCTACGCTTTACGTATACGTAGAATGAAAACGACCAATCAAGACAAAGCACTGATTACTAATTACGTTGTATTAGGGTGACGGATTAAAAAGAGTTAAAAGGCCTGATTACGCTTTACGAAAAAGGGCACTGTGACTGGCCCTCAGAAAACGCACAGTGGGGCCAGTAGCATGTAAGTAACAGGATGGTATCCAATTTTCCGGCTCGGTCAAATCTCAAATGTCAAGGGTCAACGTCATTGTGCAAATGTAATCTACTAGCTACTCAGTCGAACCGCAGGTCACCGTAGAACGCGTTATTCTCTAAGATATTTGCCGGGTTACGATTTGACCCCGTTGCATGGGAGTAAACAACTGCCTATAGTGTAACAAAAATACCTCAGACCTACATAATGTTTATACTTTTCTTACCTGCAGGCTTTGCCCAGTACAACCAGGTAGATATTTCGTGCATTGCAAAATAACAGCTAGCGCTACGGCCTTCCAAACATTAGCAATTTTTGGTCACTTTATTTGTTCTTGTCTTTTTTGCTGTTCAACTGGATCCTATTAGCTAAATTATTACCACAGTGTGATAGCCCACTTCTTCGCCTTTACATTGATGCCAAAGACCCCTGGTAAATTTTATGGCAAACGGGTTTGCCCCCCAAAAAACGGTGACGATGCGCACATCGTGGTGGTCAACTTTTAGCCCAGTTGTAAGCTACTGACACGGGACACACACCATCCTGAGTTTCCGCTACATTTTGATACATTTCGCGTAATGTCATAAGATTCGTTTCTTGGTATGAGAAACTGTATGAATGTGGCTACCACATGCAATATAATAAGTGGTATGATACCATTCAAGTATATACAAAACGAGGAATTTAATACAAGGTTCTGACCATTCAAAAATCGTCAAATTTGAAGTCAATCGGTTTCGAACTCTTGCGTTCGATCCATGGAACCAAGGCAGCGCGTTCCATTTTTCGCGCCGCCAACAATGTTGCAACTTTCAACCGCTGTTTGCGAAAGTTCATGAAAAGAAGGAATCAAGTTTTTTCATTACAAACAGACTTTACGAAACCCATTCCAAGTCAGACTTATATCATGAAGACGCTAGAGAAAGTGGGATTCATGTGCAACTTATACCAATGTCAGCACATATGCCCGATGTTTGTATATTTGCAGTAACAGGTCATAGTGTCCGATTTCTCCTTCAACAATTAGGTCATGAAAAATCAACCTGTTGTTGTATTTGTTCATGCCCAAATTCCTTCTCTTCTGTTTTCATCCGTAAAGTGGGTATCCTTTTGAAGCTTACTATTTATGGGTTCACCACCGTGACCACGAAGTGGTGGTGAACCCATATTGCTTTTTCTGATGTTTCTTCTTCTCCTCCTCCTTCTCCTGCCATTTTTTAAATGGATTCAGCTTCTTCATTTTAGGGCCTAAGGTCCTGAAATTTGGTATGGAGGTACAGTGGGCAAATACCCCTAGGCGTTTTTTAAATTTTGTGATACAGGCTTTTAGAATGGTTTTATTTGAGTTTTTGGCTGTGTTATAGCAAATGTATTACTGTGTTAGTGTGCCGTGTTTATCACGTCTGGGCATGAGTCATCACAATGGAATGCAGGGCATCAACCAATAGGCATGCAGCTTTCCTCTATACTTCTTGCTGATTGGCTGTTGGGATTTAACTTCATTAACACCTGCACAGAGCATTTCCACCTGCACAGAGCATTTCTTGCTGATTGGCTGTTGGGATTTAACTTGATTAACACCTGCACAGAGCATTTCCATACTGACAGTATGTCTTTATTCAAGTGTTTTGGTAGGTATTTCAAGCTTTCCTGCTCGAGCATTGGAATGCGGGGCATGAACGTTTTTTTTTTTATTTTGAAAATCAACAGTTTGCATTATGCAATTAAAAATCCTAACCAATAAAGTAGGGAATAGCTATCCAACTGTTGTTTTAGTTGTATGTTACTTCACATTATAGTTATATCAATGTAAATCATTGTTTTCCCTTGTGTTTCTCATTCTTTCCCTGCCATGTCGTAAAATGTGGTGAACCCATCGCTGTATTTGCTCCAAAGCAAATATTGGCCTTTCTCGTTATATTTCTGATTCTGTTATAGCATCTGTTGATAGCATGAATGACTTAGGAGTCACTGTACAGCCAGATCTTCAGTGGGATAGCCATGTTGTGAAAATAGTATCAAAGGCAAATTCCATGACTGGCTTCATTAAGCGTACTATTGGCTTTAACACTAACATCGATGTTCGCAAAGCGTTGTACACCACACTGGTTAGGAGCAATCTAGAGTATTGTTCTCCCGTGTGGTCCCCACATTCTCGTAAGTTGATATCTCTAGTCGAAGGGGTGCAACGCCGGGGAACAAAATTTATCCTAGGTCCCCAGGCTAATCACCTTACCTACAAGGAACGACTAGAGATACTGCGGTTGTTACCGCTCACATTTAGGCGTGAAGTTGGGGACATAATGTTATTTGTTAAGTCTAGGGCAACTCTGGAGAAATATGTTTCTTTTCCAACCAGACCCACAAGAAGTGCCAGAACACATATGTTAACCCCTTTTAGAGCCAAAACATCATCGTTCAGTCACACATACATCCCCAGGCTAGTCAGTATTTGGAATAAGTTAGGCTCTGACCTCCGCGGTACTGGTGAGCGAGCAGCTCATCAGTCGTATATTACATCATTTAAACACAAACTCCTCAAGGCCACCTACAACAGATTTAACACACGATTACAGTCTTGACCTGCCATGTACTTGGACCACTTCTTGTGGGTGCAGTTCTTGCATTGCCTCTAGACCCTACTAAGTTCCTATATCAACATGATGTATTCCCACCTATTATTAGGTAAAATTGTTTAATGCTTAACATATCATATTGTTATATTTATTGCTTATTTCTACATATTGCTGCAATTGATTATGTATCTGACTGTGTAATGTTGTTGTTGTTCATGTGTGTTTACACATTCATTGATTTTTGTAAGGGAGGGCAACTTGTAAAGGTGCGTAAGCACCTGTTTTGCCCTCCCTTTCATTTGTGAAAAATTCAAATAAACAAATAAACAAACAAATAAACAAATTTAGAATTTCCTCATTAATTATGCAAATTAGCGCCTGATTTGCATAATTGCCATCTGATCATGTCAAGCATCACTTATACTACTAACATACCAAAAATCACGACAGTACGTCAACCGGTTCTTGAGTTATCGTCCTTCAAATTTTTTTCAACAAATGCTCCTGCAGTTCAAGAACAAGGCGCTAGGGGACCCAAACTCACGTCACTTCTTCCCTACCACAAGAGCTATCTACCAACCAAAATTCGTGACCCTAGCATGTCCAGAACATGAGATATCAAAACCGGAAGTTCAGCTGCAGTACCTAGGAAAGCCGCCAGGGGGCCCAAAATCTAATCATTTCTAGGTCTCATGAAGACCTACCCACCTACTAAGTTTCATTCCAATCCATTTACTGCTTCTCGAGTTATCTTGCTAAACCACACACACACAAACACACATACATACCCACACACAGACAAACGCTACTGAAAACATTAACCTTCTTGGCGAAGGTAAAAAGTGATGTTTTTGCACCTAAATCGAGGGAAAGACGCAGGTAGCCCTCCCCATACTACCGAAACTGAGGAATTGCTGCAGCATGAGTAGCAGTCCAGTGTCCTGACCAATAGCAGCGTGGCTGTTCATCGTGGCCGCTCTGTGGATTTGGGCCCTGATAATACCTCACATTGGAGGTCGTCGATCCCGGAAGTTACGCCCCCCTCCCCGAACGACTCGAAGCGAAGCATAGAATGTTGCGTCTCAGTTGCGTCATACAATGAGCTTCTTTTCGTGAAGATGTGGGGCGACTTTCTCTGTCATCTGTTTCTTCAAACGTTTGTGGCCATCCCAGCGCTCGCTTGAACCACCGAGGACTGACGGATCGAACGTTGGCTACGTACGTTTGAGTCGTCACCACCATGGCCCAGAGCAAGCCCCACACCCCAGGTACGGCCCGGGGCGCTAAACTGGCAGCTCTGCTGGTGGACGAGGGGACTGCGCTAGTCAGGAAAGTATTTGAGGATGAAGTCAAGAAGATGAACCCTTCAAGTCTTCGTGAACAGCTAAAGAGTCATAAGGGATATCTTTGCGGACTGCGATACTTGAATGCTGGTCAGAGGAAAACACTCTATCCACCCGGCGACGATGTTCCAAATACTGCACAGGGGTTTGACATATCGCTCTTAGAACTTCTACTGAAAGAACTCGTTCGGAAAGAACTTCGTAGAAAAGCACCGTATGAACACCAAAGGAACAGCCTTCGACAATACAGGAACGACAATTACGGGCACATTTCAAGCACGGAGCTGTCTGAAGAACAGTTTGACACGCTGTGGAAGGAACTGACTGATATCCTGGTTTCTCTCGGTGGAGACAGAGACAGGATTTCAGAAAGACTCAACTCCAGCATCGACACTGAACTGGAAAGCAAGTACTTCGAACTGCTGGAGCGACTGCACAAGGAAGACATGGAGGTCAAAGATCTTCTCATGGCTCAGGGAGAGAGTCTAAGGAAAGGGCAAGAAGAAGTTTTGGAACAGGGAAAGGGTCTGCTAAAGGGGCAAGAAACACTCTTGAATCAAGGAGAGAGCCAGAAAAAAGGACAAGAAGAAGTTATGAAGGGGCAAGAAGCAATCATGGCCCAAGGAGAGAGCCAGAAGAAAGAAATTTTGGATCAAGGCCAAAGCCTAAAGAAAGGACAAGAGGAGATAAAGAGTTTGTTGGAGAGAGTCCACGATGCCCAGAGCCCAGGAAAAAACTCCAGGCAACACGAGGATTCAAGCTCCAGGACAGGTAAGATTTCTCACAATAAATGTTATCTGTACACTCGACCGGCAACACGAATTTGGCGTCCTTTAACTTAAGACCCTCAGTAGCATTGGTACTCATCATCCTTCTCTGGTATGGATTTGGCAGATTGAAGAGATCTGATGGAAACCCGTAATCCCTGAGTCTCCAAGCAGAGGTTGATGGGGAAGATTGTTACCTTTCTGTTTGTGCCTCGTTTTAGCCTGTCGCTACCCCCACCAACGTTGGTAGCGACAGAAAAAAGGGACATATATAGAAAGATAACGAGCTTCCTCACCAACTTTTGCTTGGAGGGTAGGAAAACCACACGGAGTTGGAGTAGTGAAACTGGTAGGCCCATCTGTCTTCACATTCCCCTAAGTTGCCATCCCATATCAAATGGGATAAACATTCGAATAAGAGATAGAGATATGTTACAAATTGTCTGCTGTTTTCTTAGTATTTTGAAAATCTGCTCACCACACCATACAGGATTGGCTGATGTGGCTGATGACGTCATCAACTGTCTGCAAGACCTGTACCGTACCGAGTCTGCGCATGTGCGGCCTCTGCCCTGGTGCGAAGACCTCAACCTGCATCTTGGAGAAGTCTTCACCAACCTGCAGCTCCAGTACAGGGATGAAAGGGGGCGCTTTCATGACGCAGGCACTATCGTAAGCTTAGCAGATATCTATGAAGGTGAGGGTATCCAAGTTAACGTTAGATCAGCTGTCAAAAAAGTAAGGGTAGAAGGGGACCCTGGTATTGGGAAGTCGTGCTCTTGTCAGAAGCTTGCTTATGATTGGTCCTGTGGGAAACTGGACAGGTTTAAGTTTGTGTTCTTTCTAGAAATGCGACACTTAGCTGGGAAGGTAAAGGATGAAATATTTGAGCAGCTCCTACCAAAGGATACAAACACGACCCCGGACCAGCTCTGGTCCTACATCCAACAGAACCAGGATGATATTCTCTTCATCCTAGACGGTCTAGATGAGCTCAGTCAGGCAGCAAGGCAAGTCACAGATGTGGTGGACTTGATTCAGGGTAAAATCCTCCGGAACTGTCATGTCCTGGTGACCTCTAGGCCGTACCACTGTGTCAAAGACCTGGAGAAATGTCACCGGTTCTACAGAATAGTAGGTTTTAGAAAGAAAAATTCAGAGGAGTTCATACGCAAATACTTTTGCGAATTCCCAGAGTCTGCCTCAAAACTGGTGGAACAGCTTCAACCCGACCAGCTTCTTCGTAATGTCTATCTGTCACAAATTGTAGTAAACCCCCTCAACAACTTGCTCATATGTGTTGTGTGGGAAGATAACAATGACCAACTGCCCTCGAGCAAAGCTGAACTGTATGAAATGATTGTACTTTCAGTCGCAAAGCGATTCTGTACAAAGAAAGACCTTTCGGTGGAAGGTGATGAACTTCCTCCTGACATAAAAGCAGCCTTGCGAGGTCTGGGGAAACTGTCCTGGGAGGGGCTAGAGCAGGAGCAGCTCCAGTTTAACATAGCTGAGATTACAAAGAACTATGACAAGAACGCCGATAACATGTTGACCATGGGCCTCCTGACTAGAGATTACTCTTTCTCCAGAATCAAACGCACCTGCCTCTGCGCCTTCCTGCACAAAACATTTCAGGAATACATGGCCGCCCACTATATCAGTAGCCTGTTCACAGGTGGTAGTAGAGAAGAGGGGATGAAATGCCTTCGTAGTTTGTTTGGTTTGACAACTACTACTGGTATCGACAGTAAAATGATTTTAGATAGTTGCCGCAAATACATGGAGGTCCAGGATTGGTTACTTTTGATCCTAGCTGAGAATGCAGACCCGTTATTTGACATGTTTGCAGAGGAACTTAACAAAGCTCAAACTGATGAGGACAGGGACGTTTTGTCATTTGTGTGTATCACGTGGCTTGGAAACTCCTGTGCAGGTGTTAGAATGGCCGGGATTGTGTCACCTTGTCTGTCTCAGCACGCAACTAACAACCTGGGTGATTTTAGTAAGGACTATAATCGTCATATCAGTTGGATTGTAGGTTTGACACACGTACTAACCTGCCAAAAGAAACTCGTTGCAAGTAACAATCCAAGTTTGACACAGCATTTGACAGTCAACCTCCGTCATATCAGTGCAAGATCCTTGATTGAAGAGGAACTTGACGCGTTAGAAGAAACATTATCAGATTACGACGCATTGCGCTCTGTGAAATTACTTGATGCTGGCGGTGGTATTAGGGCTGGGGTTCACACTTTCTCCCCACTGCGCACATTCATACCTCGGTGTGGAGCAGGAAGTGTGTCCATCCATATCAATCCTTCTTATGCATTATATCTGTCACTGTTGAGCTCGTTAGAACAGCTTAGCGTCGCACCAAGACTTGTAGATATTAGAGTTACTGTAAATGGTACCATGGGTGGTATATTTGGCGATACACCAGATCTAGACTTCTCAGAATACGACAGACTGTTGTCCCGAATGATTGTAAGACAGGATTGTCTCAGGTCGTTAAGGCTAGAGATTGGTGGGTGGCATCGTCAGGATCCTGAAGTCAGAGGGTTCGGTAACCTAACAGCGACCCTTCAGAGCATCTCCAAACATGCAACCCTTGAGGAGGTTGACTTCGAGCTTCCAAGGAACGACGTGTTGACTGTAGGTGCAAATACAAGGTTTGAGGTGGTTTTAATCGTTGACAATATAGAGATAGTAAAGTACAGAAGGTATGAGACATTTGATGTGGGGCCAATGGTTCACGAACTCACAGAGTGTATCAAGAAAAACAAGATGCTGAAGACACTAAGGCTTAGATGGAAACTCTGGGATATTCAAAATATAACACATAAAGTTTACCATGGAGTCTGCAGTAGTCAGTCCCTCTCCAACCTGTGTTCTGCGATCCAGAGAAACCGAACTCTGGAGACGCTGGAGATTGAGGGCATGTTGTCTGACTCTCAGTCAGGACGACAGGCAAGGATAATTGCCAAGTTGTTGGGTAATAAACCCAGCCATTATAAGGTGTTCAATATAACTATGTTGGACCGCCCACCTGTCATTGACTTTGTCATTTTTCCGGCAGCTTGGGTCGGGTACCACAGCGATAGAACAGCTGCGGAGCCCCGTGGGCCGTCCACATAGCAGTAGAGAACACAAACGTCATTCATGTCTCACAAAGGACCAGCTGGAGTGCCCTTAACAAAGGTTTCAGGGCAGGGACCAGTTAAGGAGATCCCATTGAAATCTATGCTAAAACCACAAGAAACAAACACTTTAAAACACATTTACTTTTATCTCAAACCTCAAGTCTTTACCCCCACTGGAAAGCTGGATTTGTCAGGTGTCTTTTGGTACAAATAGTGGAAGTTCAACTCCTGCGTGATAATGAGCTACAGCTAAAATACTGAAATGAGACCAGGATTTCACCCCCTGGCAAAGTTGAACAGTCCACACAGATCAAAAGTGTTTAGAGGTCAATAACAGGTCAAACCATGAAAAAGGTCACACTTTTTTGCCATATTTTAAAAATATACATTCTTCTGTCCTTCTTACCAGAAAACTGGGCCTTTCTGAGCAAAATTTGCCCAGGAAAAAAATTATCTAAAAAATAAGTACCAAAATACGGTGTACACACTGTTAGTTCTGCGCATGCCGATTTGCTGGTCCCTCCCCTTAACCATTGAACTGGTTACGCGTGGCTTTGATATGTACAGGCCAGAGGAATCCGTCCTCTGCTTAATTAATAAATAAATGGAAATTTAACAATTTCATCTAGTAGTTGTCACAAGTTTCGATTTTAATAGCATGTCAGTGTTCCAGGCGAAAGTAACTTCGTATCAAGATTTCTAAAAGTCTATCATGGGGTCAATATATGCACTAAAACAGATTGTTTTTTTTTGTATCTGACAGGAGCACGACAATACCCACCTTTGTTTGAACTTAATATAACAAACCTTTCTTCAGTTTTAAAAATGCCATATACAGTATCTTATTAAGATGCCCCTGCCTCCAGAATGTATTAGACTAAAATTTGCTAAACATGTATGGTAACAATTTGTCTTACATCGATGTGGGTATACCTGCTTCGCACTATAGATGCTTTCATGGTAGTATTTTGTAAACCAATGTATTTTCATGCTTTATGTACATGTATCTTGCAAAAATCTGTAGTGGTATAATGTTTATATAAAATTATATTGGATATCATTTGAGTAAAGGACATGTACGTTTAAAATGCATTGGCAGTGGGACCATTCTTTGTTTTGTTTGTTTGTTTGTTTGTTTGTTATGTTTACTGAAAGCTTGTTTTTGCTCTGTTTCTTCTTCTGCTCCAAACACTGAGCTGGTCAATGACCTGAACCAGACCGTCTGTCACCATGGTAACTGGTGTTGGGTTACATAATGCTGCAGTTGTACAGTAGGAGGGTTTTAGACTAATGTCACTATATATGCGAATGTGTTAAACGTTTGATTAAGAATTAATTAACAGAGCAAACCATATGCGAAGGTAAACATTATGCATTTGTTTGGCAAATGTTGCCTTTCTAGTTTTTTCTTTAACTTGGTTTTAGTTACGAATACTGACCCGTGGATTAAAATGATGTGACGTTTGTACATTGTGTAACCTACGAGCGGACGCGCGAGTCAAGGAAAGTTGCTCACACAGTTTATTACTGATTTCATTGTATTGTGTTCTACCTTGGTTCTACGTTATATGATGTTAAGGTTACAAAATTGTTTCTCTTATGTTATTTAAGCTGCTTTGATCTTGTATTCAATTTGTAACCTGCGTTATTTGATACCTTTGTTAATCTTGAGTTCATTTTGTTAATGAATTTTGTTTGGGTCCCCCCCCCCCAGGAACCTTTGAAAATCGCCATCAGGCGACATGTATTTCCTGGATAAATAAACAAGCAAACAAACAAACAAGCAAACAAAATTACTTAGTTAGACTTCTTCGAATCCTGTTGAACAAAGAAAGACGTTGCATTGTCTTATTTAAAGTCAATGGAAGTTGCCTTGTCGTATTTAAAGTCAATGGAATTTACTCTTTTGCCCCATATTTCGTGTGACATATCTCATCAGTACACAACCCCTTCGCAACGTGTATCCCGTGAATGTTGAGAGAAATGCTTGTGCAATCTTCCACAGTCTGTAAGCACAGTAAAAGATTATTCCAGCACATAGAAGCAAAAACAAGGAAACGTCGATCATCAGGTACTGGTGAAGCGGAAGTTGTGCGGCACGTGACCGGATGTGAGGCAGGCCGCCATGTCTGATCACGTGACTGATCCACCACACTGCGCGCTGCATGGGCGTCTCTGGTTGATCCCTGTACAGCCGGGACAGGCGACGGGCGTTTTCTCTGTACCTGAAACATGACAAATACATTAGGCCACAGCACGTAAATTTTCTGGATAACATCCTCCGCAGACTCCATATCTAATGCGAGCGGGCGGAAAAAAAACAAGGTTCCTACATTTTCAAATTTTGACTCAATCATTGTACAAATTGTTTTGATTCATCACATATACACAGCCAGCATCACATATCACTGCATCAAAGTAAGAAACAAAACATTAAATCAGAGCCTTTTCTTGTCTCCTCTCTTCATAGTCATCTGCCATCCAGCTTCCGGCATGGCACAAGACATCTTTGCCCATTTTCGGCATGTTGACCACTGTCAGAAGGCAACAAAATTTTTTTTCTAAAATTAGGCGAAAACTAGAGGTCGGAGATCTCATGTCTTCGTCAGAGGTACATCGTTCTAGAGAAATTAACATGCGTTTTCTTCACTCTTTTTAACAATCAATTTGGTCTAAAGAACAAAAGAATCTCTGTACTATTTTTATGGTACAGAACACCCTGAAACGGTTTGCCGCAGGTTATACAGATGCGTCGTCACCCGTGTTACGCCCCCCCCCCCCTAGTTACTTGAGTTTGGACTGTTACTGG